GAGAGCTACTATATGAATAACAACACACGCAGTATGTGGCAGAGAATCCAGGCAGTCACAAACTACAGGAACAAATCAACAAATACAACCCCCCAGGACGCCACCCTCCCGGACAGCCTCAACAACTTCTATGCAAGGTTTGACAGTTTGAACACAGACACCCCCTCAAAATCCCCCTGCAACCCGGGGGACACTGTTTTTCAGGTGATGCACACACAGGTCCTGAAGGCCCTGAGACAGTTAAACCCCCATAAGGCAGGACCAGACGGTGTCCCCCCTAGAGTGTTGAGAGCCTGTGGGGATCAACTAGCTAGTGTGTATACAGACATCTTCAACCTGTCTTTAACCCAAGCAGTAGTCCCTTGCATTTTCAAAAAAATCCATTATCATACCGGTCCCTAAGACATCAGACACATCCACTCTGAATGACTTCAGGCCAGTGGTGCTCACATCAGTCAACATGAAGTGTTTAGAGAAACTGGTCCTCACACACGTTAACCACATGGTCACGGACACTGTAGACCCCCTCCAGTTTGCCTACCGCCCCAACAGATCAGTGGACGATGCAAGAGCTCTGGCTTTATTCCATACCCTGAAATACCTGGACAACAGCAGTACGTATGCTAGGATGCTTGTCCTGGATTACAGTTCTGCATTCAACACCATTCGTCCAGGCAGGCTGACTAGGAAGATGACAGACCTCGGTGTCCCAACTCCCACCTGTAACTGGATTCTGGACTTCCTGACTGATGGTCAGAATGGGAGGGCGGGTGTCTGCTGAGCTAACAATCAGCACAGGCTCACCGCAGGGCTGCTGTCTCAGCCCCAAACTCTTCATCCTGTACACCCATGACTGTGTCTCCAACCATGACAACACCACCATCATTAAATATGCTGATGCTGATGACACCACCATTCTGGGCCTCATCAAGGGGGGAGACAAGTCGGGTTACAGAAGCTCAGTGAACTACATTCTTGTTTATGGAGAGGAGAATGACCTCATCCTCAACATAAACAAGACAAAAGAAATAATAGTAGACTTCAGGGAGACCCCCCCCCCCCTGACAACGCATGTAGTAAAAGCATTTTTAGACTCTAAAGCATTCACACTGTCGGCATAGAGGACCCAAAACTTACAACAGTTATTTAACCAAACTCACATCCACTTCACAAGTGAAGGAACAAACATGGCTACACAGATGGTCACAGACCAGGACCATGACTGTGTGAGCAAAACAGACATTGAAATGAGATTGCATGAAAACCTGCATAAGGAACAGCTACCTCATGCAGAGGTAAACCTGTATTGTGCTGGACACAGCCATCAGACTGAAACAGGTGGTTTGATAGCTTCATATGCTGTGTTGGAAAACATGGCAAAAGCAAACTTAATATAGCAAAACTTAATATAGTTTATATTTATTAGGCCAGTGTTAGCTACATTCTAAGTAAACAGGGAATATTTTGATTGCTTACATAAACTCAACTCACATGAACTCAATGACCACACACACACACACACACACACAAGATGATACCAAATGTGCGCTACATGCTGTTTGATTACATATTTCGTCTGGAGTCTGATTTACTGCTAACCACCACAGGGCTAAGTATGGTCAGAGATGAACTTTTGTGAGGATCTTCTGCATAAACATGGGGTCCAGCGTCCTGTTTTCCAGTAATTCTAGGGGCTTCCCATACCCGCGGGAGGGGGGCCTGCTAGATGTCCGAATGACATGATGCAGGAGGTTCAAGAAGTAGAAAGGGCTATATAATCAGCTGGAAGGCTGATAAGACGGACTCGGATAGACTCAGACTTGACGAGCGTGTGGGTGCATTTGGGGGGACCTGAGAAGACAGACAAAGACCCCAAACTCTGCAGAGATCCACAACTCCAGGTGATTCTGTTTCTCTCCCTCTGGAATTCACATTACAATATATTGTTCAATAAATGATGATTGGCACTGCAGTGATTCTCCCTGTGAATTAATTCTATACACGACACCTAACAGCTGATAGCCACAAGTTCCTGGGCCTGCAGGTGGCATCTGACTTGAGCTGGTCACTGAACACAGCTGCCACAGTGAAGAAAGCCCAGCAGTGGCTATACTTCATCAGGCAGCTCAGAAAAGCTGGGTTGAACCGTTGCCCTCTCACCCAGACTTACAGAGGACTGGTAGAGAACATCCTCACTACTGGAATCAAAGTCTGGTATGGTAACACCACACAGGCAGCGAGGAAGGCTCTTCAAAGGGTCATAAAGACCGCAGAGAGGATCACTGGGACTGAACTGCCTGCTATGGACACACTATACACACAGCTCTCTCGTAAAAGGGCAGAGAACATACTCAGGGATCCACGCCACCCAGCTCACACTCTGCTCAGATACAAAAACTGCACCTACAGCCTCAGGCACAACAGGGCAGACAGTATCATCACACGCAGAACAAGACTTTACAACAGCTTTTTCCCTGCCACAGTAAGACTGATGGCAAATACAAAAATGTGAGAATATATATGCAATAACCCCTTACTACCTCACCAAGTGTAATGACATATCCAACTCCACCATGTGAATTACTAAGTGCGATGTTTGAAGTTCACTGTGGGAAATACTATTACCCTATTTTTGTGTATTGTGGTTTTAATGCTTTGTCACCTTTATGTAACTTTTCTATTTTAAGACTAAGTGTTCTTTCTGGCTTTTGACTCATTACCTGACTCCAAAGAAGAGCTGCACAAGAATTCCTATATGGCTAGACTGTCTGTTTATGGTAAATAAAAATCTTGAATCCTTGAATCTGAGGTTGTTTTGTGTCTTCTGTGTGTGTGGGTGGGGGGTGGGTTATGTCTTTGTGCTCATTTTGCGTGTCTCTGTTTGACTGTTCCAAGTCTCGCTGTGATCATTTTGTGTTTTTTGGAGTCTCACTACAGGAAGAAACAATGTCATGAACAGTTTGGACAAGAAGAAAGTTTACATTTTTTCCTGAAGTTTTAAAAAATAGTTAAAATAGTCACAATGTCATAATAATTTTACAACGATTTACTGTTTAACAATTTGAACTAGTAGGCATCCCAGCATGTACTGTGTGAGAGTTAAAACTCTTCAATTACTCATTTTTTCCAGTTTGACAAACCAATTCATGGTGGAAAAAAACTTACAGAAGACTTCCTTTTAAATTAGGAGGAAAAATGTAAATTAAGGATGAATTACTGTATTTTTAGAAGATGGTCATTTCCCCATAATTTTTGTGGTAATATTCTGGCCCCCCAGCTGTCAGAATATTACCATTTATTCACTGTAGGAATATATTATTTTTATGCACACATTATTTTTTACTTGTATCACCTATTGTTTATGAATAATGAAATTCATGCAAATACAGTGCCTTGCGAAAGTATTCGGCCCCCTTGAACTTTGCGGCCTTTTGCCACATTTCAGGCTTCAAACATAAAGATATAAAACTGTAATTTTTTGTGAAGAATCAACAACAAGTGGGACACAATCATGAAGTGGAATGAAATTTATTGGATATTTCAAACTTTTTTAACAAATAAAAAACTGAAAAATTGGGCGTGCAAAATTATTCAGCCCCTTTACTTTCAGTGCAGCAAACGCTCTCCAGAAGTTCAGTGAGGATCTCTGAATGATCCAATGTTGACCTAAATGACAAAGGATGATAAATAGAATCCACCTGTGTGTAATCAAGTCTCCATATAAATGCACCTGCACTGTGATAGTCTCAGAGGTCCGTTTAAAGCGCAGAGAGCATCATGAAGAACAAGGAACACACCAGGCAGGTCCGAGATACTGTTGTGGAGAAGTTTAAAGCCGGATTTGGATACAAAAAGATTTCCCAAGCTTTAAACATCCCAAGGAGCACTGTGCAAGTGATAATATTGAAATGGAAGGAGTATCAGACCACTGCAAATCTACCAAGACCTGGCCGTCCCTCTAAACTTTCAGCTCATACAAGGAGAAGACTGATCAGAGATGCAGCCAAGAGGCCCATGATCACTCTGGATGAACTGCAGAGATCTACAGCTGAGGTGGGAGACTCTGTCCATAGGACAACAATCAGTCGTATACTGCACAAATCTGGCCTTTATGGAAGAGTGGCAAGAAGAAAGCCATTTCTTAAAGATATCCATAAAAAGTGTCGTTTAAAGTTTGCCACAAGCCACCTGGGAGACACACCAAACATGTGGAAGAAGGTGCTCTGGTCAGATGAAACCAAAATCGAACTTTTTGGCAACAATGCAAAACGTTATGTTTGGCGTAAAAGCAACACAGCTCATCACCCTGAACACACCATCCCCACTGTCAAACATGGTGGTGGCAGCATCATGGTTTGGGGCTGCTTTTCTTCAGCAGGGACAGGGAAGATGGTTAAAATTGATGGGAAGATGGATGGAGCCAAATACAGGACCATTCTGGATGGAAACCTGATGGAGTCTGCAAAAGACCTGAGACTGGGATGGAGATTTGTCTTCCAACAAGACAATGATCCAAAACATAAAGCAAAATCTACAATGGAATGGTTCACAAATAAACATATCCAGGTGTTAGAATGGCCAAGTCAAAGTCCAGACCTGAATCCAATCGAGAATCTGTGGAAAGAACTGAAAACTGCTGTTCACAAATGCTCTCCATCCAACCTCACTGAGCTCGAGCTGTTTTGCAAGGAGGAATGGGCAAAAATTTCCGTCTCTCGATGTGCAAAACTGATAGAGACATACCCCAAGTGACTTACAGCTGTAATCGCAGCAAAAGGTGGCGCTACAAAGTATTAACTTAAGGGGGCTGAATAATTTTGCACGGCCAATTTTTCAGTTTTTTATTTGTTAGAAAAGTTTGAAATATCCAATAAATTTCATTCCACTTCATGATTGTGTCCCACTTGTTGTTGATTCTTCACAAAAAATTACAGTTTTATATCTTTATGTTTGAAGCCTGAAATGTGGCAAAAGGTCGCAAAGTTCAAGGGGGCCGAATACTTTCGCAAGGCACTGTATATAACATTTAGAAAAGACAAGGCAACTTTCATGATAAAAATAGTGCCCATCCAGTCTATCCACCTTCCTCATGTTACTTCTTAGTCATGGTGGTGGTCACTGGGCCACAGTTAGTTGAAAACCCCAGCACTATATATACTGCTGTAAGGCTTACACTCCCATTCCAACTTCATTTATAAAGCACTAAAAACAGCCAAATTGGACCAAAGTGTGGTACAATGTAAATAACAATATACATTAAGAATAAACATTACTTACAACTACAGATAAAATCAACACCAGTATAAAATCAAAAAGCCAACGAGAATAAATAAGTTTTTCAAAAAGGACTTAAAAACAGCAAAGAAGAGGCTTGTCTGATGGGCAGCGGTAAATCATTCCATAATTTGGGAGCAGCAGCCGCAAAAGCTCTATCACCTCTAAGCTTGCACTTTGTTCTGGGCACACTCAAAAGAAACTGATTAGCTGGCCTCAAAGAAGAAAGATAAATAAGAAGGTGCAAAGCCATGAAGGGATTTAAAAACTAATAATACAATTTTATAGTGGAACCTAAAATAAACAGGTAACCAGTGCAAGGAAGCCAAAACTGGAGAAATGTGCTCTTATTTACTCATACCTGTTAAAAGGCGGGCTGCAGCATTTTGGGCCATCTGGAGGCAAGTAATAGAAGACTCGCTAATCCCCAGATACAATGCATTGCAGTAATCCAATCGGGTGGTGATAAAAGCATGAATAAGTGTCTCAAAGTGCCGTCTAGAAACCGATGACTTTACTTTGGCCAACTGCCTTAGGTAAAAAAAAAAAAGTGATTTTAAGACAGCCGCAACTTGGCAATTGGCTTATGGACATGCCCACAATCGCTACAGCTCAAAAATTCATCATACCTCTAAAAGTTTTATAAACTAAACAAGTTCATGTTTTACAAGCCATTCCTGGCTGATTCCTCATAAATTTTGCAACCATATGCCAGTAAATGCAGAATAATTGTGACTCTGCTGTCTTCTGCTCCACAATGACATTTTAATCTGATAAAATCACTTGGAGGATGTTGCGCATCCTTTCTTCTTTAAAAAGACAATCTAGCTGCCATGCATCCCACAACCCATACCACATGTTTGTACATAGACATGAACATGTGCACAAAATAATGCAGATTACAAAGACTGCGTTAAAATCCATAGAGAGTTGTAAGATGCAGTTTTTGTACAATTTTTCAATATGTCAAATTTACATATATATTATCTGTGTGATCCACACTTTGATCCACTTGACCTGCAGTGGCCTGCAAAGACAGAAGTTGGATTCCATTAAGAATGGGTTTAGTTGTTAACTGAGCAGTAGTTCTTGTTTTAGCTTAGCTTCTTAGGATATTAAATATATCCAAAAGAGTGGGAGTATTGTACCGCAATGTTGGCATAGACAGGTTCATCAGTGGCCTTCTTCGGGTTAGGAAGTTTCTTGGTTTCATGTTTTGTGGAAGATGCCTCACTGAAAAGACAAAACAGACCTGTTTTAATCCTATTCTAAGAACCAGGACATCACATTTTGTATGTGCAGATCCAGTGTAATAGCTGCTTTCTCTGGAATCATTAACATCTTCACATCTTATTATATTAAACTGTGATTCTTATATTGCTCACACATCTAATGAAAATACTTTTTTGTAATATTATTTAACCAGTCATTCATAAAACAAACCTTTTAGCTTGATTTGCTGATGCTCTGCTGCAATTAGCATAATATCCAGATCCCTCCCTGGTCAAAGACTGTGACCTGTGAAAACAGGCTGTTACTGACATGTTACTAGAGGTGATTATAAACAAAATGCAAAAAAGCATTACTGACCACAAAAAGTTCAATTACATCACTATTCAAAATTATTTAAATGACTAGCTTCCAAACTAATTGTGGTGCCATAACATCAGGCTCATGTGCACACACATCTTTAATTCCAATTTAAAGCAGATGAATGTGAACACAGCCTTCCTATGTCACACTGCACATACAGTATTCAGAACAGCGAAGCTCATAGATCCAGTTGAAGTAACAATAACAAATAGATGAGGACTTCAAAATGTTTGCACATGTTTTATATAAGAGTAACAACAGGATCAGTGGTGAAACAAAAATATTTTAGGTGCTTTCAAATGAGCTCAAAGTTACCTTTTGTGTTTTATGCAACAGAAAGTTCCAATGGTGAGAACAATGATCAGAAGTGCAGAAACTGGTACAAAAATGGTCATATACATTGATGTTGTTTTGTTGTCGATCACAGCTGCTATGAAAAGAAAACTGAATTATAGATTTTGATAAATTAAGCTACAGTACGTAATTTAAGGTAGCACTAACATGAAACTCTAAATCAATCCACTCTGCTCTGCCCAGCGCTCCATCTCCCTGCTCCAATATGATCTGCTGTTCTCCACCACACTCTGCCCAGCTCTTTGAATATTTGTCATTATGCACTTGCAAGAAGTGAAAATGCAGCAGGTCATTCCCACTGAAACCTTTTAGAAGCTTATATCTCTGCACTGCTACCAGTGCTGTTCAATGAGTCTGGGTCACAGGAGGCTTTGACAGCACCTCCCTACATTAAGACACATTTTGGAGCAGATTTCTACAACAAAAATGTTTGAACAAAAGTTACATACTGTAGCTTTAACTACTTTTAAATTATACCTAGAAAGAAACTGTGTACTCTTAAACTTACTGCTCATGGATTCAGTGGTGTGAAATGGGTGCCTTGCAATTTCTACAAAAACAAAATAGTTTGGGACAGTTTTCAATAATATTACATTTTACCCTGTGGTACTGTAACTGTTGGGAAAAATATTATGCAGCCTGTTAGCAAACTGAGCAGTACAGAAATGTGAATAGCATAATAAAATTATACAGGTTATACCTGGGTTAAAAGTGGCTGGTGTAACATCTAGTGTGGGAAAAATGTGAAAAGTATTAGTTTAATTTACACTAATATATAAATACATTTTAAATCATGATTAAAATGTGTTACTGAAACTCTTACCATACACAAAAAGAGAGACAAAATCCTTGCGGAAACTGTACTTTTCACCCTTTCCAATAAGTCTCATATAGAGTTCTGGTTCATTATCTGTGACGTTTAGGATCCGGAGGGAGCAGTTTCCATTATTTTTATTTCCGATGAGCATGGTCTTTCTTCTGTACTTCTCAAGCACATATGTGTCATTTGGGTGAAAAACAAACGAGTTTACATCCTTGTCACCAGTAACAAAGTTACTTCTCCCAGGCTTTTTCCAGTAAACTTGAACATTTTCAGTGTGGTGTTTGGCCGGATAAGTAAACACACATGGTATGGTCACCTCTGAGCCCCATTGTGCATTAATGTATCTAGTGACCGTAATATTCCAGCTTTGACCTGTGTTTAGAAACAAACCAAAATTTATATCTATCAAAGTTAATACTTCAAACACTTCAATAAAATGTCACCCACCTTGTGAGGTCAGAATCAGTATGAGACTAAGCTCGATCAGGCCCAGCAGCTTCATCTGAACCAAGAAAGACATATCTGAGGTTAATTGACCTCTAAAATCTTAGACTTTCTTCTGTTGTACAGCAGCAGCTGTCACATCTGGTAGCCTACATAGAGATCTTAAGTTAAAACTACATTTACTTTGTCATTTACAGTGTCAAGTAAATACTCACTGTGGGAGGAACACAGATGTAGTTTAGGTGCTTTGCTGTGCTTTGCCAATATATTTGACCCCAGCAATGATGTGACATTTTTGGGTGTGTTTCCTGTTGCTCAGCCATGGTGAATTGAAAAAAGGGAAGTTGGGGCAGAAAGTGAACCGTGACCACAGTAAACCTTTTTATTCTTAATTTTGACAAAAAAATTGTATACTTTATGATTTGTGAGTGACATATTATTTGAAGATACAAATACTGCACAGTGAAAGTGAGCTGGATGTAAAGTAAATACTAATTTGAAGAGTATTTTTACTCTTGTCCAAGGACACCTTTTTTTTATGCCTACAAGTGCAAAAAATGGTGTGAAAATTATGGAAGAAGTCTTTGTATGTTACCACTTTTTTTTCTTCACACTTCTCTCACACTGCACATGTGAACAGTGCCTGTGCTGTTATACAGAACAAAAGTCAATCATATGTCCTCAGACACATGACTGAGTACAATTTGGAGCATAACTCAACAGATCAAAATTCATTGTTTATAGGCACAGATAGAAGACTCTTAGCTACGTTGAATACTTGCCAGAAAATGTTCATTAACTCATTAATGAGCTGACAGAGTTGCATTGTATATGCAATAGTTTTGACTTGGTATTATTTGATATAGTTACTCTGTGAGATTATTGTGATCTTTAAGTAAATCAAGTAACTGGCTGCTCATTAAGTTGTTTTGCGTATGAGGTAGAAGTTTTATTTTTCAGCTCCTTCTTCTCTATGGCACACAATATGATGGCCTGTTAGGATTCACTCTGGACTTGGACTCAATATGCAGACCCGGACTAGGCTGAGCTTTAGAAAGTCTTTATTAAACAAAAAAGGGTACAAAGAACTGAGGAGTAGCTGAGATGCCCCAAGAACTCAGGTGTGTGAGACAGGGTGGAGAGTGGTCGGGGTGGTCAGGGTAGTCAGTGTAATGGCTTCGTCAGGAGCATTCCAAGTAGGAAATAGAAAACACAGGAGAATGGCAGACACAGGGAGACTTCACATAGCATGCTGGCGTCATCAGGAGCAAACCAAGCAGGAACAAGGAACAGAATGAGCATCTTCAGCATTGTCAGGATTGCAGTAATGTCAATGTACCAGCAAAAGACTGAGTTAAATGAGGACGTTTATGGGCTGTAGACCAGGAGATAATGAGGACAGGTGAAAACAATGAACAGTGATTGTGGCCTGAGGTAAAGCTGGGGCAGGTGAGGTGACACAGGACAGGACGTCTAACAAAATAAAGGCTCTCAGAACAGGAAGTGGGGCTAAACCATGACATGGCCTTCAGCTGGAGTAGTTTATTAGTCTTTCTGCTTTAATGGAAAGTGGTGATGGCAACTTTTAATTAAGCTGAATTCTGTCTAGTTATTCTACCAGGCTACCAGCTAGTCCACCTATTTAGCCTATCTAACTGTGTAATGGTACTCTTGCACTCTTGTTTGGTTGATTTGTTTTGGGACATATTCTTACCGTTTAGTGCCACCGCTGAGCTACAACTTGTCCTAGAATCCTTTGCTGCTGTTAATTGAAACCACTAGATGGAGCAAAATATCCAGAGTGAACTTTGGCAATGATGTCCAAGCTCCACCTGGACTGTGGGCCAAACGCGAATCCCAAGGTGCAGTCATATGACTCCAGACGGCTGAATGAGAGCTAGAAATGACTGTATGAAACTAATTTAACAGTTTTTGAGTTCTTGGACGATTCGATTCTCCTGGAAGAAAACAGTCCTGGCTACTTTCATTTTCGACTCGCAAAGGTAGATGGATGTTGGGAAGAGAGGCGTTGTTTGTGGAGCAGCAGCCCACAGGATGGTTCGCGGTGTGGCTCAATGGCGCGTCAAACGAGCTGTGTGCATAGTGTGAACGCTGCAGCTACAGATGGAAGATCTGAGTAGGTCCTTGTGGGAGACAGCAGGAGAAGAGACGAGCACGTCCAAGAGTCACCAAGCAGCTGTTCGCCGAATAGCAGCGGTCAGCTCTCCTGATCTGTCCGTCGCACGCCTCACCATACCTGGAGTCATGGACGCTGAGGGCAGGGTCGACGAATCAAGGCCGAGGATGCATATATTCAGAAAGGGCAAATCTATCTAAAAATAACAAAGTTCATTGTTTTGGCCATGCGTAAAGAATGCAAATACGCGTTTGACTTTACTAAGCGACATGACAAAACTTTAATCATATGCATGAACTGCTTTACATCAGGTACACTAGGCTATTTGTCAGTGGCTCAGTTTAAACATTACACAATAGAAACTAATGATCCTGAGGCAAATAATCACTTAATGCACATTTAGAATTATAAAAGCCTTGCTAATCCAGTGAAACTCATGTTTGAAGGTTTATGTGTACATTTGCGTATAAGTACAGAATGGAGGAAAGTTGGCTACACCCTGGACAGGTTGCCGGTCCATCGCAGGGCCAACACGCACACACACCAGACACACTCCTACTGGCAACTTAGACTGACCAATCAAACCTAAGCCTCATGTCTTTGGACAGTGGGAGGAAGCCGGAGTACCCGGAGAGAACCCACGCAAGCACGGGGAGAACATGCAAACTCCACTCAGAAAGATCGCGAACCCAGAACCTTTTCTACCCACCGCGCCACCGTGCTGCCCTTACTCACATTAAATGAGATTTGAAACTATGTAACTCAACTAATTTTTAATTAAATTTTATGGAAATCATTAACATGTAACTTTAGTGTTTTGAAAAACAAAACTGTCCACACTTTAGCACTATTTTTTGCTGTACAGAAAAGAATTCAACAATGATTTTTATTATTATGTGTCAAGATGCATGAGTGAAATGTGACCATTCCCACAGACCAAGCAGAGGTCAAGTGATGCATTGCTTCAGGACATTAACAGAGCCACAATCAAACCATTGTCTTACATCTCAACATCTCATTGTGCATAAGACCCCCTCAAGTAAAGAATTCCAGTGTGACTGCTGAGATCAAAGGACATAAAGACTGCTGGGATAGAACAACACATACCATTTATAGACTGGGTAAAGTGGAATAAGGACATATGAGATTTAAGATTAGATTGGATTAGATTCAACTTTATTGTCATGCAGCTGCACATGCTGCTCCCATGCAGCATACATTCTCTTATTATAGTCTTATATATTTTTGTTATATTGCTGCATTTGCTGCTTAAAGTGCCTTAGATTTTGTGTTACTTATTTATCTACTTTATATTTCATTTGTATTATTATTCATTTGGCATTTATGTGGATTGCAAAGTAAGAATTTCATTGTACAGGGAAACACGTTTCCTAATTGTATATATGACAAATAAACACTTTGACCTTGACCTTGACCTTGATTACCCATGTACTGTACAAGTACAAGGCAATGAAATACAGTTTAGCATCTAACCAGAAGTGCGATAACAGCAGTGCAGAGTGCACAGTATCTACGGTCTGTACAGTCAGAACTGATATACCAATGGATATGTACAATTGATATTTATAGTGAGATAGGGTAATGTACAATGTACAACAGACTATGGATTTAAATTACAAGTAATGGATAAGGTACATTAAGCTTATAGTACACAATTGTAATGGGATGAGATGGAATGAAACAGTGCAGAATAAGAAGACAACAATATGTTATATGAGTGAGCAGTTCAATGGATGTAAATAGTGCAAAGATAAAGATAAATATACAGTATCAGCATATGAACAGTGTCCAAATGAATACAGAGCAGTATTCTGTGAGTAGAGTATGAGCAAATTAACAGATCACTTCAGTGTTACAGGTAACAGAAGTGTATTGCATGTATTGCATTTAAAAATAAGACAAAAATATTCAGTAGAGTATTTGAAGCTGAGAATTAATAATGTGTTCAACAGGTCACTAACTAGCAATATGCTTATTGGTTGTTTTTGTGTTGCTGGAAATTCTAAAGGTTTGAGCGGGCTCAGGACAATGAACATACACAGAGGAGCTCTCACAGAGATGAAACACCACACTGAAATTATCATCTATAAGCAGGAAACTCACTGTGCTTTTCTGCAGCCCTCTGACCTTTATGCATATTCCATCTCTACAAACATGGAAACCAAAGATTAAAGAAGCTGCAGTGAAAAACATTACATAACCCATCTCAAATCCTCAGCTCAAATCCATTGTGAAAGCATGGAAAAGTTCACCAAAGTCCGCATCAGCCATTGTTTCCTAAAGGATTTGTCTTTCCTCATCTGCAGAGCTCTCATTCTCATGACATTCATTCTGGATTTGCCTGAAACACTTCTTGGTATGAACACCCTGGAGAGTCACTTATATCAACGACTGTAAATTATTAAAAGGTTTTCAATATCTGCCAAAGTGGTGCGTCTCCCTCTGAGCGTGGCCTGGTGTGGCGTTTCCTGTTTGAGATGTATCCATGCAGTTCTACAGCATCGGAGCACTCTCTGCTACAGGAGCAGCTGCTTGTACGATACCAGGTCATGAAGAGAAAGTGGCAGCAGTTCCTTCCTGGCACAGATGGTAAAGGCGCAAACATGCACAAACTCATACAAAGTTACTGTTTGTTTGTCTTTTTTCATCATTCTGCTTTCTCCTTTTAAAAAAATCTATGAGCCTTTTCCCATTCCAGCTGAGCTGATAGCAGCTGTCAGGTACTTTCACTGTCAGGTATCATTGACTTTTGGCTTAACTTAGTTGACATAGAAGGGTGAGGCAAGGCAGCTTTATTTATATAGCACATTTCATACAGAGAGGCAATTCAAAGTGCTTTACACAGACAAGGAACAACAGCAGCATCATTAAAACCAGAATAAAATCAGCTAAGACAAAATGAAGACATTTCTTATTATTATTTCTGACCCTCTCAAGTATGTAGCTGGGGTGGACAAAAATATAGACACACCTCTGAATATAATGTAGTCCAGTATAACACACCTTTAACTAGGACCTCAATAATAAACATATAATTGAATTTATACTTTTATGACAATTTCACAAAAAACTGAAACATTTTGAGATGTTCAGGTGGAAGTGTTTTGCAG